AAAGTGAAGGGGCTGGTGAGGAGTGGACTAAAGGCCCAGGAGGTAGTCGCAAGATCTTGGGGACACAGCTGAAGGCAGTTCCCAGGCACTTCCCCAGAGATCAGGGGATGTGAAAACTGCTCGGGACCAGTGGCTCCTTTCACCTCCAAGTCCCCCTTTCTGGACCAGAATTCCTGTCCCTATCATCCTACACCTGTCCCACTTTGTGAGTAGAAAGTATTAGAGCAGGTAACTTGTCCTTGGCTGGGTCCACAGACAGAGAAAATTTGTTCCCCTGTTGTATTTAATGGATTATACCCAGAGACTTCCTCCACATTTGGTTTAGACTGTTTAAATGTTATGATGCTGGACTTGAACTGGTAACAAGATAAGGCTGGAGGACCTGGGTGGGTGAGTGCCTCATGTGCAGGTATACAGATATAACTCACTGGAGGCCAGAGAGTGGAGGTGGTAGCTGAAACTCTAAAATGACCCCAGTAACCCTCACCTAGTATAATCTGCTTTCCCCTTGAGTGTGAACAGGACCTGTGTAAATGATATCATTCCTTATGTTTTGTTATACAGCAAAAGAGATTTCTGCAGATACAAATTAGTATACTAATCAATTCACTTCAGAGTCACCCAAAGGAGGATTACCCAGGTCAGTCAATCCTAAACACACACGACTTCTAAAAGCAGGAAGGATTTTTAAGAATACAGGAGGATTTTGATGTGCTCTACAGACTGGAAGATCCTGGCACCACCCAGAAGTAACTTGGACACACTCTCACATTTGCACACAGAGCAAGAGAAATCTGGCATTGCCTTTCTGTGTCCACTGCTGCTCCTAACAGCACAGTCCCTACATCACTGACAGGGTCATGTGCTCAGCTAACAGGGACTACATTCTGCAGTATCATTTGCAGACAAGCACAGCTCTGTCAGTGAAAGATGAGGGAAGCTCCTGCTAGGACTGCAGGGAACCTCCACAGGATGACACTGTGTGCAGGGACACCTTTCCCTCCTGCAATGAGATGGAATGGAGGGGGCTCCCACAGTCATGCCACTCCTTGAGCAAACTGAGGATAGAAAGCATGAACTAGAACAGTGGCGCTCAAGGCAGAAGCCTGGTGGCCAGTGACCCAGGAAGCCACCTTTCCAGGCCTCCACTTAGTATCTGTTATGTGAAGAAAAATAAACTTGCCCCATTCATTGAGGCTACTTACTGCCTGGTCAAACGCAGTCCCTGACTGATTTTAGGACATCATTTAGATATCTGTTTTTAAAATGATAAAATAGTTCTTACATACAAAAGCATTTATAACTTAGACTAATAATAAAGTAAACACCACGGCATCCACCATCCTGGCTAGGAAACAAGGACCGATCCTGCCTGCCCGCTCTCCCACCTCCCATCTGAGCACAGGGAACCGCTGTTTAGATTATGTGTACAAAGCAGGTGTGTCTCTTTTGCTCATAGCTATACCACACATGTGTGTAACCCTAGATGACACCAATGCACTTTACTCTTCAATTTTCTATAAATTGTATCAACAATCTGCTTTGTTCCTGCAGCAGGAGACACATTTCCACAGATGCATGGAGCGATGGTTTAATTTCACAGCTTTATGGTCCCTGAGGCATAAAGGCACCACTACCCACCAACCCGAGATATGTGGGTTCTTGGGCTTTAGGCCCTTCTCGAACACTACTATGAACTCTGCACTACTCTCAGGTACCTGAGGGACCAAGTCTGGGAAGCTGCTTCCCAGCTTTTCTGACACTGGGGTTTCCAGAGAAAACTAAAATGACTTGTACATTGGAGGTACACAAAGGGTGTGGAGAGTTGTGGACACTGCTTTCACTCACAGATTCTGGTCCCCAAGGGCAAAGGAGAAAGTGAGATGGAGCACCAGAGTGCCCACAGCCACATGCAGAGGCCTGGCAGCAGAATCTGAACCTAGGCTGTGGGCTTACCAGCACCACCAGGTAAGACTCAGCTGCTCCTCATCCTCACCAAACATATAGTATTGATAATCTTTTCATTTTCTTTAAAATGTTTTTCCCAGAGCTGGTGAAATAGGTCAGCGGACTAAAGTGCATTCTTAGGCAAACTTAGGCAAGTGCAAGGACCATGGTTTGATCCCCAGTACCACATGCTGTGCCAGCTCCGGCCCCAGGGCAGCTGAGCCAGCCAGAGTCTGGGCGTATAGTGGTGTACGCCTGTAATCTCAGCACGGGGGAGGCTGAAAACAGAAGCTATTACACTGTAAGTCCAAGCTACATAGTAAGACCCTATAATAACCAAATACATTTTTAAAAAATGTTTTTCCCTAGCTGGCATAATGGCATATACCTTTGATCTCAGCTACTCGGAAGGCTGAGGCAGGAAGATTCCAACTTCAAGGCTAGTCTGAGTAATGTAAGATAGTCTCAAAAGCAGTTTTTTACTAACAGGGCTGGGGGTGTACCTTGATGGCACGGCAGCTTCTAGTATGCATGAGAGCCTGGAATCAACCCTCAGTGCTATAAAAAAGAAAAGAAAAAAGAAAGAAGGAAAGCAGGCAGGTTTTCTTGGTCTTAAATTAATATTTTTCTTATTTCTAACAAAAATGAGTATCTATCACTGCTTACTAATCACTCCTAGTTCCTCTTCTGGGAAATGCCTATGCACTGTCCATCTTGCAACGGCTAGACTTTTTTTCTTTTTATTTACTGCATACAGGATCTCACTGTGCAGTTCCAACTCACAGTGATCCTCCTTTCTCTGCCTCCCCAGCACCGGGATTACAAGCCTGCACCACCATGCCTGGTTTTGGTGGCTGGCTCAGCACGCAGTACCAGACATTGAACCCGGGTCCTTGCACTTGCCAGGCAAGCCCTTAGACCCCTGAGCTTGCCTAGTTTGACTTTTCTTTTGCCATCCTTAATGTATTCTGGACAGTGATCATTTGAGAATTATATGCATTTTCCAATTGTCAGGTGGCAGGCTTTATTATCAGTGTCCACCAGATCACTGACAGTGAACAATGTATATGTGTGGGGGGGTGTTGGATGACAAATTCAATCAAACCATCTAATTCACTGTCTGCTTTCACTCTACAAGAGTTAAGCTGACAGACAGACCATATGGCCTCACAAAGCTGAAAATATTTAGTACCTGACTCTTTACAGAAACAATTCAGACCAGTAGGTTAGACTGTTTTCAAAAATGCCACCCAATCCCAAATGGTGGCACACATCTATAATATCAGCACTTGGGAGGCTGCCAGCTTGGACTCTACAGTGAGTTTAAGGCCACTCCAAACTACATAATGGGACCCTGTCTTAAAAAAAACAAAAAACAAAAAACACAAAAGTGGTTGCCCTTCTACTTCTTGTCTGCTTAGTATCAATTAAAGAGCTGTTTTTAAATTTTCTATAAGGGCCAGGGAGATAGCTCAGTGGAAAAAGTGCTTGTCTGGCAAGAGCAAGGTCCTGAATTTGACCCCTGATACCACTAAATAAATAAATTTACTATGATAATGATACATTTGACAATATCTGTCAATGTCTGCTAAACTTCATGTCAAAGCTAATTTATCAGGTTCACAGAAGTTACAAATAATCTAATTTTCCTGGTGAATTATTTATCATTAATTGGTTTTTTGTCCTCAGAATTCCATTTATTGTGAAATGTTTAATATTGGCAACGTGCCAGCCTCTTTTTCTTAGCTTATTCTCCTCATTTTCATGACTTACATTTTGAATGTGTTCCTTTTTTTTTTTTTTTTTTTTGGTGGAACCAGGACTGAACTCATTGAATGTGTTTCTTAAAACAGCAGCCAGGGAGATAACTCAGTAGAATAAGTGCTTGCCTGGCAAGTACAAGGGCCTGAGTTCAATTCCCAGTTCCGCCAAAACAAAATTTTGTCCAAAAATTTGTCCACCAATTATAGCAACATAGGAATCTGGTTTTGTTTCTACCACATTAGTATTTTCTTCCACCTCCCCCCACCTTGTTGTTGTTGTTACTGTTTTCTCTTTCCTGCTTTTACATTGTTTTACTTCCACTTTTAGAAGGAGTATTTTTTACCTCCACTTTTAAATCTTTATGGATTTAAAATTTTAATTCTTTCCATATTAGGGAAAATGTTAATTTTAAACTTAAAGCTAAAGAATTCATCAGCGTCTCTACTTTCCTCTGGAACAATGTGATAACATCTAAATTCTTATTATTAGATTTAAGCATTACTGTCCAGCATTTTAATTTCATTTTATTTATTTGCCATTTATTTTTATTGTGCTTGTAATGGAGAAATACATTATCTGTTTTCAAAATAGTGCTTGAAAATACAAGGAGTACAGATATTACATAACAAAGCAAACTCCAGTCATGAGACATGACATACATCACATGAAAAAATAATCTGATAGGCAATAATAACTAGAATTAAAAAGTCCCAAGTTTCCAGCTTGGTAAAACAAGTACAGTTACATTAAACAGTTAAACAAATTTTTCCAATGTATAAACAAATTGGCAAAACTAAATTTGTGCCTGGGAAGTTCAACCAAACACAGAGCTACTGAAAATACAAAGGCTGTGCACATTTCACCTGATTCTTGTGGTGGAAGGGTTAGGTGACTGCACAGGGCAAAAGTCTGAGAAACATAAACAGTATACACTAGCATCAGAACATCTCAATTACTGCATAGCTTAAAAGAAAAAAAAGACTATACTTCAACTTTGGAAAATTAATCTAGGAAAGGGGAAAGTAATTGCTGCTTAATATGAAAAAATGCAGATATGGTATAAAGGCACACGGTTGGGAGTGTGCAGAGACAGAGCCAGGTTACCTGGGGAGGCTGTTCAGCTGCTGTGTCCATTGTAGGACTGTTTCACCTGTCTACATCTGTTGTCCCTCATGGTTTCTAAACGTGGAGGTTCTGCTGCTCTACTATGAGGGATTTTTTTAAAGTATTCTTAATTGATGATAGAATAAAACAAAACCATAAAAAGCCAATTAGATGCCAAGCTTATTAAAAATTTTTACATGACTCAGATAAAATTAATGAATTCTGCTAAGGCATTAAAAATTGGTTTAAAATCTGTGCAGAAAATGGTTTGCCCACATTTAAAATTGGAAATCAGCTTTCTTATAAAGCAGATATCCTGTGGAATTTGTAAAACTTTCCACCTTTAGTGATCAAATGGCCATCATAGAACAGCAATATATTTTACAGTCATTACATTTAATGAAGTTTTACTAAAATGTTAGCCATAAAATCCAAATTTGTTTTGTGCTATGTGGGCACAAGACTGCTGATTTCACATCATGGTTTAGAAAATACTAGTACCCTGGATTTTTTTAACAAAACAACAAACAAGCATACCTTGCAACACATAGCAAACAGAAGAGGGTAAAGGCAAAAAGCTCTTTGCTTTCGGATGAAATGATTGAAGACAAGACTCTGGAGCTTTGTAAGCTCAAAGACAACACTGGGTTGCTGATTATACACTGTCTAAAGTAATCCTATAGGCAAAACCCATGTGTTATTTCTTGATCATGTCCTATCAAAACTAAAGACAGAAATTACTGTTTTGATGTCAAATATATATCCGAAGGGTTGACATTACATTTTAAAGCATTGCAGCTATCTCAGCAGGACTGAGCTAAAGTTACTTTTGTGCTTTCTCTGAAGTATATTACACCACTGTCCAACAGTCTCTAAGTTTAAGATTAATAGTGAAGAAACCACTTCAGGAAAAAAAATTTTAAAAAACTAAAATTCACCAAGTTAAAATCCAAAATTAGTTCTAGTTCTTAACTTTAAAAATGCATAAAGTACATCATTAGTATAAGGAATTCTGATACTAGTTTGTATTGCAAATTGTCCCAACAATTCATCAAACATGAATTTAGTACAGAAGTTAGTCATGGCTATAAATATAGCTAGAGTTTTCCCCCCCTAACGAGTAATAGTCCATTGAAGTAGTTAATGTGAATGTTGCTGACACATTAATAATTTGAGGCATTAATAAAAGTACTTATAGCTTAATATGCTAATCTGGACTTCTGGCCAAGATTTGGCCATAAAAGATGTTACCAAAGTGAACATAAATCTACTCTGAGTCTTATCTAGTCTGATACCCTCACATTCCTTCTGTATCATCTAAAAACAGGCTGAGTTGGCAGAAACTGTTTGTGGGCCCTTGGGGTTGTTTCTATCCACTCAATGTTTCAGTGAATTCCTGGTAGCAGGAACAGAATCTGCAGTGAGAGCTGTGATCCTGGATCTATCTGTGCTGGATGTTTCCCGGGAAGCCAGCAAATAAGTTGCTGTCTACACAGTTTCTGAGCTGTGCTTATCTGTCTGGTTTTTCCCTTTTGGCTTTGGTTTTCTTGGCATTTGCTTCTTTATAAGATGAGATGTCCTCTAAACTCCTACTATGGGATTAGATATGTTTGTTGCTGCATTTCCTGAAGGTCTAGGAGGGTGGTTTACCAGATGTGTTGAAGGAACAACTCTGGTGACTGTGGGCTTTGGTGGTGGAGAAATTGTAGGCTGTGAGGGAGTTTGAGGAATGCTTTCACTCAGTGCAACCCCTGAGCTTTCACTGGGATTCATCTGCTGCAGAGAAACTTCAGGAGCCTGCATATTGGTCACAGATGCTGCCACTACAGCCAAAGCAGGGCTATGTCTGTCCTGAGTGCCAGGAGGTGAAGGCACTAAGATGTTTTCACTGTCTACAGACAAGCAGAGGCTGCTGTCATCCACGGCTGTCAACCTTACATCTTCTGCTGAGTGTGTTTCCTTTTTCTGAAGAACATGATCAGGAAGTAGTTGATGAAGTTCCTTTTTTCTTAAATGCATTGCAGCAATTTTCATATCCACCTCAAACATCTTACTATGTATTGCTTGCCTATAAACTGTATCTGTGAAAGACTGAATATCATAGGTGAGATCAAGATTGAGAATTTCGGAGTTTTCTGGCTTTTTTAACACTAACCCAATCACCCACATTGTGCTAAACTCTTCCTTGTCAGGATTTTCTTTGGGTGCTGGAAATGACTGGGGATTCACATGTGCCAGGGTAATAAATTCATTTTTCTCCAAGCTCCCAACCAAGATGCGGATCTTTGATTCCACCAAGCCTACCCATTCTAGATGTTGTTTTTCTGTTGGTGCACTTGCCAGAAGTACAATATAATGCTTGTACTTTTTAAAGAAGCTTGGAGCCTCAAACAGTTTGGACCACTCTGCTTTATTCAGCAAAATTTCATGTGTGATAGCAAGTCCTTGCTTAAACTCCTCAATCATGACCATCCTGGTTGAAACAGACACATTGTATGTGGAGTTCTGCTGTGGATATGCAGGTGTAATTATAGGCATAAGATGGTATCGATCACTGGGATTTACCCGTGGGTCCCACACTGGCAAATTAAGAGTCCGTTCTTCAGGCTCTTTCAATAACACTGGGTTTGGCCACTCCCATTCAGAAAACACCAAGAAAAATTTACGTACAAGAGTCGATGCTACTGCATTTGGATAAAGCTGGCAAGTTCTTGCTACTAGCATAGCCCAGGAAACACCACCGAGGAAACCTAATATATTGGAATAGATATTGTGGCATTTGGCCCACAATTTGATGGCTCTCAGAGTTAACCTGAAGTTGTCGATGTTTGGTACTAGATGTAAAATTTCATCAGTTACCCGGCAACCGTTAAGGCTTCTTATACATCTAATATCTAAGTTTTTAAGCAAACTGTCATCTCTTAGGTCCAAATCTTCTGGAATATTCTGCAATGCTAACCTTGCAAACAAAATATCAATTTCTATCCCAGCAAAACACAGTTTGATAACTGGTACAAATGCCTCCTCAACTGCCCTTAAATCTTTGACTTCTTCCTGTAGTTTCAATTTCTCATAGAATGAGGTGAAAAAGTCGCTTCGATCAACATGTCTCGGGGCAACACACAGCGCATCTATATCGGCACCTTTTGTGTGGACTCCTAGTCTGTAAGAGCCGAACGTGAAAAGTTTTCCCCCAACATTTTCAATGACAGCTTGAGGAAGGTTTTTGCTTTGGCTAATTTCTCTTATCCATTCCTTCACCAGATTGTTCAACTTTTCCAAAATTAATGTCCTGCGCTGCAGCTCCTCTTCCTCCTCGAACACCCCGAAAGGCTGCAGGGTCTCGATGAGCCTCTGGGTGAGCTCGCGGTCAGCGTCCCTGGGGGCGGCCAGGCTGATGGCCGCGGAGAGGCCGAGGCGCTCCTGCGGCAAGGCTCCCGGGGTGGCCGCCGCCAAAGGCATCCTCCCTAGCGCGGGCGGACCCGGGCAGCCGCCGCCCGGCTCATGCCCGGTGGGCGGGAGGGCCGGGCTCCCGCGGCCCAGCGCTGCGTGCGGACGCCTCAAGCGCTGGCCAGCCTGCCACTGGGGGCCAACATGGCGCCGGCCGCTGGCGGCGTCCAGAACGGACTGCGCACGCGCGCGCATGCGTCCGGCCTCGCGAAGGCGGGGAGGCGACAGGAGGCGCTTCGGCCTAAAGCCTGCGCTCAGTGCACCTTGCAGAGGCCACCGCGGCCCACCCGCGCCCGGAGAAAACGGACGCGCGGGCCCTGCGCACGTCGGCGCCCGTGTCCTCCCCCGTCGACGCAGAACACACGCGTCCCAGAACCCGCCACTGCGCAGCCCGTGCGCCGCTCTCTGCGTCCTGGAAGGGCCGCGCTTTTCACGCTCTGGCCTCCAGACCCCCACGCTGCTCGGCACACCCACGTCCCTTCCCAGAGACACAGCAGACCTCCCCACACCTGTGCTGCCATCTCCCAGCACCCTCTGCGCTGTATACATTCTGCTGTTGAAGAATCATTGAAGAGTTGATTTACGTAACATTCTTATTAGTGGAACCATTACTATTTTTTTTCCAGTATATTAGGGATGGGTCTACAAGGTGCTCAGGGTCTCACTACTAGATCAGACTCGTAGTGATACGCCTGTTTACGGCCTCCCAAGTGCTGGGATTACAGGCGCACACCACCATGCCCTGTCTCAATTGCTGTCTCAGTGCACCCCGGGGCGGGGCTGGTGGGGCAGGCCCGGGGGATTGAACCTCTAGCCCCTGCACCTGCGCTTTAATCCGCTGAGCTATTTGGCCAGCCCACCATTACTTTTTCTTTAAAAATATTTTTTAAATTATTCATTTATTTAATACAGGGTCTCTCTACACAGCCCGGACTCAGAGTGAACCTCTTGTTTGAGCCTCCCCAGCGCTGGGATTACAGGCGTGCGCCACCACGCCCAGTTTCAGGGCTGGCACGGCACAGCGTGCCCTGGATTCTGGGGCCAGAGCCGCTTGGGTACCAGGGATCAAACTCGGGTCTGTGTGCTTGCCAGGCAAACAATAAACTTTTTTTTTTTTTATGACATTTTGTTCTATATTTTCTTTAAATATATTAAACATACCTATTTAATGTTCTATAACCAATGTTTCTCATTCCTAATGTTCTTGAAAATTTAGTTGTATGGTTTGTTGTCTTCCATCGACACCTGAAGGTGGCAAGACTTCTTGTGTCTTGTAATTTTGGATCTTGAGCTCATTTCCGGTCAAGTTTGGGATACATGTCTAGAAGATGTGGCCTGCCAAAGAGGGTCTAGAGGGTCCTGCTTTTTATGTCCTCCAGATGCCCTTGTGCTCTATCAAATGGAACTGTAATGTAATTCTCATTCCAGGGGATTATCCAAATAATGGTGGTACAATTTCAAACCCCCAAAAATGTGAGGAAAAAAATAAAACTGGTTTTCAATTCTAAGGAAGAGTCAAGCCCAAGTCAAGAAAGAGAACTCATCCTTTGCCCAGTAATAGATTCTTTTTATCTTTTCCCTCCAATTTGAATTTTAGAGGATTCTAACCGTATAGAGAGAGGCTTCTCGGTCCTAACTCTCTTTTAAAGTCCCAGGAGCTTTCTCTCTCTTTGGGGGCAGCTCTTCAGCATAAGTCTCTTACTGCCAAGACTTGACAAATACCTCCAGCACAATGACAGGTTCAGAATATGATACAGTTCTGTGGCTTTAAGATGCTTCCTCAGGGCTGGCGAGATAGCTCAGTTGACTAAGTGCATGCTTAGGCAATCCCAGGGGCCAGGGATTGATCCCTGGCACCACAATCCACACCTGCCCCACCCACCGGGCTTGCTGAGCCGGAGGTGGAGTCCAGGCATGGTGTCGCATGCCTGTAACCCCAGCGCTAGAGGCTGAACACAGGAGGATCACCACGAGTCCAGCTGCGTAGTGAGACCCTGCAACCCCCCAAAAAAAGATACTTCCTTTTTTCATCCCTAGAAATTGTATTTGTTTTGAGCAATCACCTATGCTTAAAAGATGCACTTCCTGTTTATTCAAAGATTTTCCAGGATACTTAACCTTACATATTAGCAGAAATTTAAAACCTACATTTCACCCATTTCAGTTCAGTTTACATGTGCAACATTCAAATAAACAAACAAACAAACTCCTGATATTAGAAAGTACCTTGGTGACCTCCATGTTGCCCAATCCAGTCAACCCAATGATCTGCATCTTTTCTGACCTATAGAAGCCCCATGCTGGCCCCTGTGACAGCACACTTGGTGTTGTCTTTACATCTCCGGCCACTCCTCAGTCTTTTGCAGTTTCCCCCTCTAAATGTTGCAGACCCTCCAGTTTCCACACTAAGCCCTCACTACTTCACAATGCACATACATTCATTACCAAGGTCATCTATCAGTTTTCATGTCCTTACATGTCACCTACTCAAAGTGTTCATAATCAGGCTCCTTTCTGAGCATCAGATCTATACTGTCTGACTACCATGCTTCCCCCTCCACTGAGATGTCTCAGCTTCACATAATTTAAAGAAAACTATTTTCCCCATAACTTACTTTTGTCTCAGTAGTCTCCATTTCAGGAAATGGCATCTCCACTTACTCAGAACCCTGGAAGTCCTGCTTGATGTCTCCCTCTTCCTCATCCTCCACATCCAGTTCGTTCACAATTCATGTGGTTTCTACCTTCAAAACACTTTTGGAATCCTTGACTTGTTTCCCCATAACAGTAGTCAGGGCCACCAGCAACCCTGCATAGAGTTCTATGATCACTTAAACAGCTGTTACTGACTTTCTCAACACATTCTGCACCTCGGAGCCAGACTAGTTTTTTTTTTTTTAAACTCCTTCAATGGTCTCCTATTACATTTAGTCTAAAATCAAAATAGCTCCCAGCACCACAAAAATAAATAAACAGTAAGCCAGATGTCATAATATACACCCGCCATCACAACACTCTGGAAGGCTGAGGCAGAAGAATCACCAACTTCAAGCCTAGGCAACTTGGGAGGCCTTGTTTCAAAATAAAAAATTAAAAATGGGCTGGTCATGTAGTTTAGTGAAAGCCCTGGGTTCGATTCCCAAGACCACCAAAAAAAAAAAAAAAAGAAAGAAATAAAAAAGAAAGAAAGAAAAAAAGAAAAAGAAAAAGAAAAAGAAAAAGAAAGCAACCTAAAGTACCTAACAGCCCAGGGTGATCTTCCTGACTGCCGGGTCTCACCTGCCTCCGTCCTGCTAGTCTCCAGCTACAATGGCCTTCTTTCTTCGCCCTGAACCTGTTTCATTCTCTCCCATCCCCAGGTCTCTGCACAATCCTGTTCCCTCAGCCAGAATGCTCTCCCATCCCAACAACTGTACCCCGCTGTCAATCTCTGACACTGGTTTAAAGTTCATCTGCTCAGACAGAGCCTCCTCACCTTACTCTAAATTAGCATCTATGCTTTTCATAGTACATAAAACAATTTGTAATTATGTTTTGAGTTATATCCTTGTCTTTATTGCTTGCTAGATTCTTAGACCGAAGATTATATGATTATTTTGTTAGCAGATTTTGTATAGTTTTGTGGGGAGCAAAGGGAGGTCTGAGGATTAGATCCAAGACCTCAAAAATGCTAGGCAGGCACTCTACTGTTCAACTACATCCCCAGGGGGGCCTGCCTGTTAGCTCAGTTGTTTAAGCACCTGCTATGCAAATGCAGTCACAGGTGCAGGATACTGGGGTTTGATCCCCAGCTCCTCATGCCTTACTAGACCTGCCCTTAAGGCATCCTGAGCCAGCCAAAAATAAAATCCTTCCAACTACATCCCCAGAAGCTGGGATTACTATAATGTGACACCTGTCTCAGTTACTCTTCTCTAATTGTGTGGACAAATAAATACCTCATACCCAAAATGAAAGAAGGAAAGTTTTTTTAATTTATTTATTTTTCCCTGTATTTTAAGAAAGGGTCTACAGGGTGTTCAGTGTCTCACTACTAAATCAGCCTTGTAGTTATTCTCCTGTTTACCGCCTCCCAAGTACTGGGATTTCAGGCAAGTGCCACCACCCCCAGTCTCAATTGCCCTCTGTGCCCTGGGGGTGGGGCTGGCATGGCAAGCCTGGGGATTGAACTGCTTGCAGGCACTTTAATCCGCTGAGCTATTTGGCTGGCCCTACAAAGGAAAGGTTTATTTAGCTCACAGGTACTGGAGGTTTCAGTCCACACTCAGCTGGATCCAAGGTAGAGAGGCACATGGCAGAGGCTAGCAGTTCAAGACAGCAGAACAGCAAAAATGGCAAAAGAAAGAGGAAGTCTGTCTCCCTTAAATTGCATTGAGGCTATCACCCCAGGCTGGGGAAGGAACACACACCCATACTTCCAGCAGTACTAAGACCCATAATCCCAGTGGATCATGAGTTAGTCTCAAACCTAAAAGTCCCTGCCCCATGACTGCATGAGGCTTTGTGGGGACAACTAGATACAAACCATAACAACAACACACCTAGCCATCAGCTGTTCTCTACTCCTACCTAGCACCTAGTCAAGTACCTATCACAAAGTGGCCATTCAATGAATATTTGCCAGCAAATGAAAGAGAACTTTCTCATTTAAGTCACTAGGAAATCATTATCTGGAAGACCCCTTCTCCAGTTCTGATTAGGCCTTGCCTTTAACCTCATAAACCTCTTTAGAGAAATGAACTTTAAAAATAGTATATTATGGGCCAGGGAGATCACTCAGTGGAATAAGTGCTTCCCTGGCAAGCGCAAGGGCCTGAGTTCAATCACTGGTTCCACCAAAAAAAAAAAAAAAAAAGTACATTATGTGCCAGAATGCATTAGCTATCTCTCCAGCCTTCACGACTACTTTTTTTTTTCTTTCACTAGGCGAGCCTTCCTTGGTTGAAAGCTGCCAGGATCAAGATGGAGTCACTTGGGTCAACTCCTAACAAAAATAAAATAATGGTGAGCCATTATGGAGGAGAGGATCTCGTGCAGGTGCACCT